TTAGTTCTGTCTACTCGTAGAAAGTCAACTTTGGTCAATTGCAAAACTAACCTCTTTCAAATAAATTTAAAAGTGTAGACTGCATAATAGGTCTACTTCTAAAAGTCAAATTCTGATCGAATTCTGGTCAATTGCAAAACCAACCTTTTAAAAAATGTAGACTGAAAAGTAAGTCTACTCGTATAAAATCCCTTTTTTTGCAAATACAGAAAGTAACCCGTGAATTTGGCAATTGCAGAAACCAACCTAAACGTAGACCTAATGTTCAGTCTACAACCTGTAAACTGAATAAAACGTCTACACCTCTGTAGATTGAATATGTAGTCTACCATGTAAAATCTATCAAAAATGGATTTGTGTATTATTCATTAAGTTTTTTCAAAACTTTTTTTTATGAAAGTGTGTGTTAGTTAATCATAAGTGTCTTGAATGATTTTGAGAAGATAATCTGTTGTAATTAGGAAGTTATCAAATTTTTTGTTTGTCTCTGTTGTTAACTTAAAATTTGTAGACGTACTTGTAAGTCTATGATATAATTTTATCAAACATGAAATTTTGGTTTGCTAACTATGTAAACCGTATTTTTTTTTTGCAGGAGATGGCTCAATTACTCGTTGTATACAGAGAATGAGTGGTGAAAAACTCTAGATGTGTTAGCGTTATGTGTTGAACTTATGAGTTGTCTTATTGCTATGGATGTTCTATTATGTATTAGTGTCTCATTGCTTTGAGTTGTCTTCTATTGGATTTGTAGGTCTTTAGTGTGTGTTGAACTTATAAACTATATTGTTGTTTTGGATGTTGTCTAATGTGATAGACTTATGTTATATTTTTCTCTGTCAAGTAGACTTCTTTTTAAGTCTACAAAAAAGAATACTAATAAGTAACAAGCATGAGTGTTGCTGGCTTCTGATTTTTGTAACCAGCATGAGTGTTGCTTGTAGAAAGCTATGTATACACATCAAATGTAATGAAGATTACCTAATTTGGTCTTATCAAATTCTATTCAATAACCAAATCAAGCTATTTGAATCTAGTGGATTCATCAATCGATCACATGTGACTTGTTTAATTCCAAAACACAAGGGGATGTAAGTGTACAAAGAGAACAAACCAAAGAGCAAACTAATTAAAATACAAGGGGATGTAAGTGTTCGATCTCAAAAGGCAGCATGTTCTCAACAAGAAGATGCTTAAACTCATCGTCAAGCCTTGCCATCACCGTCTGAAGAACATCATGAGCTTTCCTCAAAGAAACCTCCTTTCTTGTTCCCTCTACCGATCAATAAAACCTCTCAACTCATTCACAGCACCCAAAAACTCGTTCCCTGCATCAGAACCCAAGCCCCAAATCATCCTTTCATCTACCTCACGAGTCATGATCTTCTCACAAACGAGATTAACCCTCTGCTCCTACTACTTGCATTAGGTTCATTCTTCTCCATGGCAATCTCAATGTTGCTAGTTCCCATAGAATCTCCCCAAAGCTGTACACATCACACCTGCAGAAACAAAGAAGCCCACCATGTTTTTATATTACATTCTCCTTGGAAGAGCATAACTTTTGTTGTAGAGGCAATGACAAAAACTGGGAGTCTAAGCTACTCACTTTTCATTTGAGGGCTTATTGCGTAGAACCTCTGGAGCCATCCATCCGGGCTACCAATTCAAAACGCTTATCATCAGAAAAGGAGCTGGAAATTGCATGTCTACCAAAACTTAGTGGGATAAAAGAGTCTCACCGTTCACG